TTACATAAGGAAGTCTAGATTCTGTACTTGAAGCACCAGGTTTGGATTTACTGTATGTATATTGCATAAATGCTTGTCATGAAATGCCCTGGGTAAAACGTTCGGTTTCCTTTAAAAAAAAAATAGCATATCGTAACAAAAAAGTGCCAAAAGTAATTTGATAGCATGGGAAGGAAATGTATGTGCAGACATACCATGAGTTATGTGGAAGATCTAGGACAGTGGTGGCGAACCTATGGCACGGGTGCCAGAGGCGGCATTCAGAGTCCTCTCTGTGGGTACGCACGCCATCGCCCCAGTCCTAGGCCTTCAGCTGGGTTTTATAAAACCTTTTTGCTTTAGGCCTCCGCCGCCGTGTGCAAAAAAAAAAAAGGTTCAATCAGTCAATTTCAACTTCTCACGGGGAAAAAAAAGATCTTGCAAAGTTGAAATTGATTGATTGAACTTTTTAGTCCCACCCAGTCTGCCTTTACCACTGCAGCCATGCCCACCCAATTGGCCACACCCGGCCAATGGGCCACACCCACCTGGCACTCGACGATGCATAAGTGAGTTCTGGGTTGCAGTTTGGGGACTCAGTCTCTAAAAGGTTCGCCATCACTGATCTAGGACATAGAAATATATAGATGTACTCCTAAGTATCTCTGGCTACCATGACTGAAATAGAAGCTGTCAATTTGTTATCAAAAGAGCAATGGTATTTGGAGAAAATTGACAACAAGTCACCAAATTTGGAACAAAACCACTAGATGATATAATAATTTTGCAGGACACTTACTTAAATGTATAAAACCAGTAGGTTTGTGGATTATATTTCATTTCCCTGTGCAATTTCATTTTCTACTGAGCAGGAGCTGTGGTGGTGCAGTGGTTAGAATGCAGTATTGCAAGCTGACTCTGCCGACTGCCAGGAGTTCGATCCTGACCGGCTCAAGGTGGATTCAGCCTTCCATTCTCCTGAGGTCAGTAAAATGAGGATCCAGATTAGTTGGGGGCAATACACTAACTCTACTTAGAGAATGCTGTAAAGCACTATGAAGCGGTATATGAGTTTAAGTGCTATTGCTATTATAAACACACACAGGGTCTGGCTCATTTCATTTTCCAATGACTTAAATTCCCAAAAATAAACAAGAAAAATGCCCTGAGCATCTCATCCACATGTGATTATTGCATAAGCAACAAGCACTATTTGTATGCAACAATTCCTAACTTTTAGAAAAATTAAGCTGCAACTGAATAGAAGTAATCCAGTGAATTGGACAAATGGATTCTCTCATCCTCAACCACACCCAGGCAACAACTTCCAATTATTAGTTTCCAGGATGATCCAGACAACCATTTTTTCATTGTTTTCAATTTCATTGGGCTTACAAAAGTGGTACATGTGCCTCTGAATCATACTTCTACTGTCACAAGCCAGCAGGTATAGGAGCTTTAACAACATCACTTTATCTCATTCCCATATTTATTCACCAGAATTCCTGAACTTTTCAGAGGCCAGAAATATACAAATCAAAATCCATAGATGTTAACCATTCTACTGTAGCAAGAATGTATAGTGGGAAGAGTTGAAGGAAGTCATGCTCATCTACTGTAGCTTCCTGTTACTTGACCTTATTGTAACTTATCTCAAGAGTAGCAAAATGAGAAGTGGGTAGATACTATGGAACTAATTCCTCATGTTGGGGGGGGGGTGCTACTCCAACATCCCCTTAAACTACTCAAGATGGGTGATTCCTAAAAGTGTTAATTTATACTCATAAATTATATTTTTTCTTTAAAAGTTATGTTTTGATGTTAATTGAGTGCTAGTCGCAGGGCCGATTACATTTTAAAATTTGCCTGAATAGTTTTCTTGAAAAAGTATAATGCTTTAAAAATAGTTTGTTTCTTTTTACCTGTTGGATTGTGTATGATTATGTTTGAGTGTATATTTGTGTGTGTGCATGTGTCTGTGTATAAACAAACGCACAATGGGGAGAGGTTATTTGACATATTTTAAAATAAAGGTAAATTTAAATTGCAGCCTGATTTGGATTTCTTCACCCTTGTAAATTAAAAGGTGTTATCGTTCTTCAGAGATGGAAATCAATAAACAGGAAAAACTATAATTAATGCTCATTTTAAAACTTTGTGCTGGACTACTTGCAGCCAGAGGCTGCTGGAGGGGTATGTGTGTGTGTGTGTCTTCACTTTGCTCTGGGACTTGCCAGAAACATGGGAGGGGTTGGGAAACATTTGGAGCAATAAAGGGGCGGTTTGAACTGTCAACTGACTGTGTTGCCTCTGCCGTGCCCCAGGTCATCACAACCACCTTCCCCAAAAAGGGAAGTTTGGAGACAGATTGAAAATTATCCAACAGGGTGGAATCCAGCAATGGCTTCTTGAGAAGAGGGCAGGCCACAGCCTCCTTAAAGAGCTGGAGGACTATCCCCTCCTGTAGGGAAGCATTAATCACCGCCAGAGTCCACTTGCCTATCACTTCCCGGGAAGCTTTCATAAGCCAGGAAGGACATGGGTCTAAAACACAGATGCTTGTGCGCGTACTCCCTAGGATCCTGTCCACTTCCACAGGAGCAACAGGTTCAAACTTTTCCCAGATAACAGTGCAAGAACCTGCCTCAGGGGCCTCCGCCGGTCCAGCAACCACACTGGCATCTAACTGGGAATGAAGTTGAACTATTTTGTCTTCCAGAAAATCCACAAATTTCTCAGCGCACCCCTTCAGGTGGACCTCAGTCTCCTTCTTCCCTAGGAGACAGCTCACCTTAAAGAGGGTCATTGGTTGATTATCTGCAGACGCAAATAGTGTGGAAAAGCATTTACACTTCACCGCTTGAATCACCACAAGATAGGCCTTAATAGTAGCTCTTACCCATGTTCGATCGAGTTCATCCCTTGACTTCCGCCAGCAGGGAAAAAATTTCCTGGCAGATGCCTTGTCGAGAATGCCGCAATACACCAGCGTAAAGTCAGGGGTAGTTAAACCTTTGTTTTCGCCACAATTAGCAGCTGGTCACTACCAAGGCGCAGACTAAGGGCACCCCAATGTTGGACAATGCAGCAGTGGCAGAATTTAAAAAAGCACTGGAGAAGGACGAGTGGTTTTCGGGGCCATGGAAACCTTTGTTCGGTGAAAGATGGGTTGGCGGAAAACGGTATGTCCCAGCTGCCCTGAAGCTGAAAATTATGCAGTCCTGTCACGATTCAAAGTTGGCGGGGCATTTCGGGTTCGTCAACCCCCTTCAATTGCTAATGTGCGGCTGTTAAAAGGAGGCAAGTAAAAATGCCTGGGCTCCTGCAGCCAGTTGCGAGCCCTTCAGTGCTCTGGAGAGCGATCTCTATAGATTTTATTGTGGAACTGCCGGAAATAGTGTCATTTGGGTCGTTAACGACTTATTTTCAAAACAGGCCCATTTCATCCCATGTCAAAAGATCCTGACTGCAAAAATGTTGGCCAAATTGTTTGTGCAGCATATTTATCAGCTACATGGAGCCCCACAACACATAATTTCAGACCGGGGTGTTCAATTTACTTCTAAGTTCTGGAGAGCCTTTTTGGATCTTTTAGGTTCTGATCAGGGACTGTCATCATCTTCAAACAAATGGGGAGACAGAACGAACGAACTCCGTTCTCAAACAGTATCTACATTGTTTTATTAATTATCAACAGGATAATTGGACTGACCTGCTACCGTTTGCTGAAGTAGCCTATAACAACGCAGTGCATTCCAGCACTGGCTTTACCCCCTTTCTAAGTAGCTAATGGACAAACTTTCAACCCTATGCCAGAATTGCCCGCTAACAAGCCTGCCATTCCTTCTCTTAAAGACTGGATACATCAGTTACAAAACATTTGGCCTATTCTCAGGAAGGCTCTGGATAAAACCAAGGCAGCCTATAAAGCTCAGGCAGATAAAAAATGGATGGAACCAAAGCCTTTTCCTATAGGGGACAAAGTTTACCTTTCCATCAAATTTCTGCAATCATTACAGCCCTCTAAAAAATTAGGGCCGAAGACATAGGTCTCTTTCCTATTAAGCGCAAAATCAATCCAGTCATAGTTGAGCTAGACCTCCCTGAAAGTCTAAGACAAATCCACCCAGTTTTCCATTGCAGTTGAAGACTGAAATTACATTCACATTTAGGCCTGCAGCCATTCCTCCTCCACCACCCATTATGGCGGAGGGTGAACATTTTGAAATTAAGGACATTTTAGAGCCTCGCAAACACTACGGCTCTATTCAGTATCTCGTGGCTTGGGAAGGACCTTCCTGCCTCACAGAACGAGTGGGTTTATAAGAAACATGTTAAAGCCCCTAGACTACTTAAGCATTTTCATGCTCGTTATCCTGATAAGCCTGACTGATGTGTATTTATTCCTCTTTTCCCCTTCCCTCTTTCTGTTTTTCATATGGATTTGTCATTCTACTGAGGGGGAGGTGTATGTCAGATCCCTCTAATTTGACTTGCTTGCATTTTATTATTTTATTACTACCTTAGTTGTTTATGTAATCATTTTCAGGGTCTACCATACTGGTGGGAGGGGGGCTACTTGCCTGCTTGCTGGGGATGTATTTGCTCTGATTACTCCTTGAGTCGCCCTCCCTCCATGAGAAAGGAATGTGGCCTAAAGACATCTGCCTTATCTCCAGACAGTGGAGCCTGGGACCGTTGGGAACCGAAACTGAGAGAGACCTTGAGATGGACACTAAATTGCAGGGTCTCAAAACATCATAGCACCTATGGATTGGCTGGAATTCAAACAAACTGTTGGATACTGGGGGGAAGAGCCATGAATGGGCATTTTGATCTAACCTTCCGCACGCAAAATCTTCAGACCTTGCTTTGTTCTAGTGCTACCATTAACTCTCAATAAAAGTTCCTTTTGAAACAATGCCTATTTCAAGAGTTCAGCGTTCTTGGGAGACCTAGTGGAGGCAGGAGACATTTGATCCCTGCCATATATATGAGCATCAGAGGAAGAATAAGAATTAAAAAATAAGGTATGTTTATTTATCACGTTACCAGGTGTGCTGTAACATAAAATGATGCAAAGTTAGAAACTTTTGAGTTTTAATTGGAATCCCCTTCCAAAGTTTAATCACTTTCAAATTTGATGGAGTTTATCTGTGTAGAGATAGTGCCACCACAATAACTTCCCCTTTTCTTCTTTGTCTTCTCATGTCGGAAGGATTTACCTTTTGTAAATCTCAGAACATCATTTGCTTTTTCACCCCAGTCACCCATAGCTCCTTTCTGGGAAAGATGAGAAAATTGATGATCATTAGTCACAAAACATTGAGCATAAATGGTTTTTATCACTTTGCATTTGTAAGCTGTCCAGAGTCTATAAGTATACTTCACAAAAACAAATGGCAAATACTGCAATTTTGTTATAGGTTGTCCAGGTAATATCTATTTTGTAGAGATTATTACATGAAGAATGCTTATCCCTACCTTGGCATCGAAGGAATTGTTTGCTACTCGCATATCTATTTCTATTTCTTCTGTTCTTATTCTGCGAAAAGGACTGGATTGCTGCAGAAGAAAAAAAGATACAGATAGTCCTCATGATGTCACCATTCAAGTTGCTAAACAAAAGGCATTTATGACCAGTCCTCAAAGTTCTTGCCACTTTAACATCCCTGCTGGCTTCCTCCAAGCAAAGGCAAACTCAATAGGAAGCCAGCAAAGAAAGTTCAAAGCCATTGGGCTAAGTGCCGGCCCAACTTTTCTTCACACACATGCATTGTGGCTCTCCTTGCCCACTTCACTTGCACGCAACCCAGACTCTTTTTCCCCGGCCTCCTTGCAATTACATACATGCATGCACACAACATCTACATGAAAGCTGGGACATGACCGCTGAAGTAAAGACAAGGATAGAGAAAGCTCGAACAGCATTCTTCAGAATGAAAAAGATCTTCTGCAGTCACGACATAAGCCTGAGACTGAAAATCAGGCTTGTCAGATGCTATATTTTTTCTATCCTGCTCTATGGAGTAGAGAATTGGTCCCTGACAGAAGGCCATCTGAAGAGACTGGAAGCCTTTGAAATGTGGATTTATAGGCGGCTGCTACGTATAAGCTGGGTTGACAAGATCAGAAATGAGGTGATAAGCCGCCTGGGAAAGCCCAGGGAAATCATCAAAACAATTAAAAAATGAAAATTAGAATATTTCGGACATGTGATGCGACACCCACAAAAATACGGCATAGTCCATTTAATCCTCCAGGGAAAGACTGAAGACAAACGAGGTCCAGGCAGAAGAAGAACATCGTGGCTTCAAAATCTAAGGGATTGGTTTGGACAAAACTCAGCAGCACTTTTTCGTGCGGCTGCTGATAAAAACAGGGTCACCAACATGATCGCCAACGATATGGCACAAGAAGAAGATGCACACAACCCACATCCTATTTCCATGGCGCACACATGCACATATCCCATGTGCCCGCTTTACTTGGCTTCCCTGCAATCTCTCCCACACATACTCATGTACCCTGCATCCTCTTTCCACAGTCTCCCTGCAATTGCACTCATTCCACACCTTCTTTCCTGGGCCTCTCAGCACTTGGATACAAGAATGCGTGCAACCAGCGGCGGATTTCCGCACAGGCGCAGGAGGCGCGCGCCTGGGGCCTCCACATTTCAGGGGCCTCCACGGCGGTGATCAGATCAGGCGCCCGCCTGGCAGAAGCCGCGAGGGTAAGCAGGGAGAGGTCGAGGGAGCCCTGCACACTCAATGCTAGAGTTCAGCCCAGTTGCCTCGCACATTTTACAGGCATCTCC